CTGGGGGATTTTCTCGACATTTTCTAATAGCTTCGTATAAAGGAACAGCGATGCCAAACGGTAAAGATTCAATGTCATTACTTGTAAATCCAAACTTTACCATTTCAAAAATCACTGCATTTTCCCCTTCACGAACTAATTTGGTATAAATCGAACATATCTGTCGCATTCTTTTGCAACAATCGAGATTCTGAAATAAAATTTTCTCTCTTATTGGAATGGAGAAAATTCGACTTATATCCATGGGATTTGGAAAAGGTTTAATTTGATCTATATTACTTCGAAAACACTTCAAAATCCATTGCGTTATATCAGGAGGTGAAAAGAAAGGATGATCGGAATTTAACATTGTACTCATAAGCACGTCTAAAGTTTAACAAACAAAACATTAATTCGACACGTGAATAATGAACGAACTAATTATGATAACTTTTTTTACTAACCTTCCTTGATAGATAATTTTTTATCTAACCCATGATTTATCCTATAATATTCAACATAAATCTTCCAATCCAAAAATGTTGATAATTGAATCAACAATGGCAAAATCTCGTCAACGTATATTTGTGTTAAAGTATGCAATTTTAGATCTTGATAAACAAGATGAAGGGATAGGAGTATAGTAGGTAGAAAATTTAAAAATCTTTGATCGGCTTGATACTTAGCAAAAAATGTCTCCCGAGATTTTTCACACATTTTAATTATAGAATCATCATCGATTATCGGTAATTGATCTGATATCGGACGAATACATTGTAAATGAGAGTTGAAATTAAATTTCGTGTGTTGTGAAGATGAAAGTAAAAAATCCCATCCTTCAATTTCTTTTGTCTTGATGCCTTCATTAGATTTCATAGAAAAAGGAATGAATGATAAGAGAGATATAACAAAATTTTCCCAATCATTCCTTCTAGATGCTGGTTTCACATCATTATCTATCGTGTATTGGTAACAAAGATATCGTGCTTTGAAGTTATAATATAACTCTATTGGCAATGCATAACTTAATGTTTCAAGACATTTTCGAACAAGATTAGACTTCGGAATAAAATTAAGGTCCACCCTAAGTAATGTGTGATTTTGAAAAACTAAATTTACACGATGACGAACGCAATCTTTTAAATCGCAAAAATTTGAATTTAATGGTTTCAGGTTTGATATGGTTTTATCCGTTATTAAATACTTTCCGAGTAATTGATGATGAAAGGTTGATAAAGGGAAAGGTTCTTTTTCATAAAATGTCTCTTCCAAATTTCGATCAGAATCAAATAATCCTCTAAAATCATAACCCAAATTTAAGGGAATAGTTTCGCAATGGCCAATCCATAGTTCAAATATTGGGTGTTTTATACCTTCCTTTACAAATAAAATATCATTGTAATTTGGCCTAGTTGCAGAAATCGATGAGGCTGCTATGACCTTGGACTCAAATTTGAATAAAGCTTTTAACCCATTCGAATGAGGAAAAATATCCAATGCAATGAAATTTTGATTTGATTTAGTAAATATACATAAAACTTCGTGACCATCAAAGTCGTGAGCTATAAATACTTTGCTGTCCTCAAATTTTTCTCTTGAAAGTACGAATTAGATTTATTAATAAGGAATAATTTAGAAAAGAGCAAAAAAGATTCAATGAATTAATAATTACATTTTCGATATAGGTTCCGTCCAAAGTAATTCCATATAAATATCGTTTTTCATATCAGATTTGATTCTTAAATCATTATACATGTCATCTGAATTAACACCAGTCGCATATAAAGTTCGATCCACACTTTGAAGAGAATTTCTTCCTTCGGAACCTTGAAATGAATCATCAAGTCCAACAGAGATTCGTCGCTCTTTATTTTGCAGCGAACTATCAGAACGAACGTTTGAACTTCTTCGATTATTCGTTTTGATGGGCGAAGAGCAAATCCTTTCCAACAATTTTAAACTATTTTCTTTCTTTATAGCATACCTATATACAGAATGCCTAAGAGTTTTACGACTTAATGTAACTATAATAGGATTGTTTCCTTGATCATCGCGATCATTGACAAAAACCACGACTTCTTCATTATCTGAAAAAGGTCGTGTTATTCCTAATATTTCGACCTTCTCTCCCTCACAAATTATCTTATCCACAATTGAGATAGGTTTGATATTCTCTAAAGGGTCTAATATACTATAAAGAACTGGGAAGGGACCAGATGTGAAATTTGATATATTTAAAGAATATTCATCATCCGAATCACATTGAAGAATAACGCCAATTTTCATCGCCCAAGCACAACGTACATGAGAGGGGACTCTTATCAAGAAATGTTGACCATCTAAGAAGTACACTTTGGCGCAATTTTCAAGGAGCACAAAGAGGGCACGTTGTCTTTCCGTTTGCAATGGTTTTTTATGACAAGTTTCTGAACGCTGTTCAAGGTAGTAGGAATGATAGCTTTTTGCCACATTAAACCAAACGAATAAAGCTTGAATAACTGGCTCTTCATAAGTGAAGGTTTTATACAAGATATTTCCTCTACTCCAAATGACTGTGTTATCAAAAATGTAAAGTTCTTCTTCAAAGTCGTCCAGTCTACTTGTTTCTTGTGAGGTTCTATTGAACCCCTCATAGAGTTTATAATTATTATTTAATTCTTCAAGCTTATAACTTTTATTGTACGAATTATGAGAGAAAGTTTTAGACTGATCTTTAGTTTTTTTATAATATCGTTCGCCAAAAGTAACGAAATTTCCTAAAACGCGTACTTCCATTTCAGAATTTGTGATAATTTGGATTTACACTGAGTACAATTCACTTTTACGGATGAAGTTGGATCAACAAAAAATAATTTTTAGTCACGTGCGAATAATGTTAAATTTAATAATTCATTCGCTAAAAATAAAAATTACAACATTGAGACTTTGGATCAATACAGAACTTTAATTAAGATTGCATTGCTTGGTTTATTATAGTATTAACGAATTAAAAAAAAAAATTATTTAAAAATTTTAAAACAAAATACATATCAGAAATGAAACCTCTTTTTTTTTAAAAAAACTGTTTTATTGAGAGCTAGAAAGAATATCAGAATCACCAGGATCGGTGATACTCAACACACCAACACGGAAGTATTTACCACAGGCTGTTCCGAGATCAATGTTATCTAATAAAAAGCATGACAAATTAATAATTAAATAAAATAAAAATTTAATATATTCTAATATAGTAATTGACAGAGAGAATGTACTTACTGCCAGTATAATGATGCACAGTAGTTTTTGAAAGCATAGCATAATATTCCAATTCATTTTTCCTCAATTGTGGACAATTTCCAGAGATAATAACAAGTTTAGCTAATATAAAAAAAAATTAAATTGTTAATTTTAAAGGGACTATCTTTGCCAGCTGATTTCCAAAAAAAAAATAATGTGCTGACTCCTGACCCTTATTACATTCGTTTATAATTTAAAATTAAAATGAATATACCAACCTTTGCCTTGACGAAGAGTTTTAAGAGTGGATTTGTATCCTAAAACATACTTGCCACTCTTCATTACTAATGCTAGACGTGAATTGATCGATTCGGTGGCTTTTTTAGATTTCTTTATGGCCATTCTTGCTAATTTCTGTCTAATTTTCAAAGATTGATGATATGTATCCGTTAAAATCCATCAATCAATTTATCATGAAATATTGTTATATAATCATAACATTATCAATTTTAAATTACCTGTAAGCCTAAATGTGAACGGTAAGGTCAATTAGTGAGAGAGAGAAAAAAAATGAAAAAAAATATTTTTAAATATCCAGATCGTTAAATATCACGTGATTTATGGTATGTGCCAATGAATCAAAAGTTTTTCCGAATGATTCAAAAAGATTATATCTCACTCTCACTTAAACACTTTTATTCTAATGGAAGACAAAGATAGCCCCGATATAAGCTTTGACAATAACAAAGTATCACAAGAACTTGCAAACCATTTAAATGCGTATGAAAACAGCGCAGAGATCATGAATGATATCCGTAATAGTATAGAGACTACAACAGTCCAAATGGAAGATACTAAAAGATCTTTGGAACAGGTAAAAATTATTTTGTATTATCGGTTTATTTTTATTTAATAACCAGACTCTTTGAAATGTAGTAGGTTCGTTCTGATGCCGATACACGTTCAGAAGTTGCATCGAAAGAACTTTACGAGGCCGCCCATCATTTGGATGCATTATATGATAAGATCGATGCATTGGAAGTAAGAATTAGATTATAAATCATTTATAAATGTTGATAAAGTTTTTTTTAAAATTATTGTTATTCCCTTTTGGTAGCGTTTCGTAAATATAGTCAAAGGAAGCGTAAACGAAGTAGCGGATCGTGTTGAGGAAGCAGAAAGTTTTCTTACAAATCCGATTAATCGAGTTTTAGATACAATAAGACTGGTAAGTGATCGTGAATTTAATATCGTAATTAAAGTTGATTTTCATTAAATTTTTTTTTAGAAAACGGCCAAATCAGTTGGTCCCGATGATTTAAGACTTCCACCAATGAAACCTTTAAATATTTATTGTACATCAGATTATTTTCCATCATCATCGGCTAATGAATGAAACAATTTATTAATTTATTTCACCATTTAAATTAAAACATTCATATATTTCACTAGGACATTTTATCCATTGATTGAATTTTTGTTCTCTAAGTATCCTTTTAGCAGTTTGATAATCTTTACTCGCTAATTTATACATCCTATAAGTCTTATCATTTTGTGGATTTATAAATTTTCTATTTATAATAGAATAGATATTTGTTAACATTGATTGTTCTCGAGAATTTGTAAGTCATAGACGCAAATTTTACCTTAAATTAAATGGTACAAAATTCCTAGGAATTTGTTTTAATAATGAATCTAAACTTTGAAATAAACATAATTTCGCAACCGAACATCTACATTGACTTGAGAGATTTATAAAAATGGATAATAAAAAATTATTTTAATTCATTAAGAGAAATATTTAATTACCGAGTTTTATGTGAGTATTCTCCTGTTTTTCTTGATTTAATCGCACCTTGTTTTCTCCCAGAAACAAGGATTTCTGGAGAATTCGCTCCTTTATACCATACTAAGGCTTTAGAAACAAAAGGTATAATTTAGATAAGATAAATATGAAAAAGGATTATCAAGTATTTTATGTACCTGTACTTGATGAGACCAAGTTCTCGTTGGGAAAGCGTGACGACAAAAAAATTTTCGATCTTTCAAATGGTACGCTTGACTTTGAAATTATGGGTTTATGTAGAGAGTATCCATGTGGAAGATCTTTAGAGAATTAGGTCGTTGATACATGAAAATATATTTTCATAGTTTCATAAGTTTCATAATTTTTTTTATACTTACGTACCATTCAAACCTTCGATCCGTTCATACAAAGCACGAGACAAAGATTCTTGTGAGAACATATCACCCACAACGATAGAAGATAAATATATTGGGGAGATAAGTTCAGATAA